AGGCGGAGGCGGAGGAGGCGGAGGAGGCGGAGGAGGCGGGGGCGGCGGCGACAGCTGCCCACGTCAGCAGCTGTCTACTGCTGCTGCGGCGGCGGCGGCGGCTGCGCGGCGCGGCGATGGCGGCTCGGGGCCATTGCCTGCGCCACCATGTCTCGAATGCGCCGCTGCGCAGACTGCAACATACAACATGCAGATTTTAATAAAAGCATAAGTTTCCTTTCTTATGTAATTACACAGCCAGCATTATCGCCCGTATAACAATAGATTTTTGACAATTTCAAACTTTATAAATCGTAAAACAGGAATCACAATATTATATACTTTTGTTTATGTTGAAAATCAAATACCATTAATATTATCTTAAGCATAGTATTTCATATTCATCACGCCACTGCGTAGACGTCTCAAAGTCTTTGCACAAAACATAGATAAAATAAAACAGCAGTGCTATGACACAAGTTAACATTTCCAAAATAATGCCTGACCCTCGCAACCCTATCCAACCACCCCTCACGAACATCCTTCACCTTGCGCCGCGACAGCCAGCCAACACAACACTTCACCATAGTACCGTACACATGTAGTTACGAAGTCGAACAATAAAAAAGACGACTGCCGAAAATCAAGAACCATAACGTATTTGCAAAACTTGTAAACTTATGTTGTACAGTTCATTCGCCTCGAGTTGTAATTAATAAAGAGATGCAACTCACCTATAAGGCGGCGTCATATGTATAAAGCGAACCGTGACGGCCGTTTTCACATGGCTACGTTTCTATGACAAAGTCTGGTGGGCCCCACCTGGCTCACCCCGCATCGGGCGATAGCTACAAACATGTAAAAAGTTATTATGCCACAGTGAGTCGCCATCCCAAGTAAAAGTCGCCACTAATTTCGCTCTGCGCTAGCAACATCAGTGTAGTACTTATCTGCAGGCCGGCGCCGGCACCGCCACAGCAAGCGCGCTGCACCTTCACAATCCCTTCGCGACATTGCTTGCCTATTTTGTAACTACATGTGTACATACGTCAATGCTCACCATCCACTCCATCATACATACATCCAAATTAGTCATTAAACATACCAGCATGCCGCACACATTTTTAAAATCAAGTACAAGGTACATTTATTTACGCACAGCAAAATGGCATCGCAAGAAGTACTAATTGAAAGTTTAAACAAATTATTTAATACAGTTCAGTTCGGAAGAAAAATATACAGTGAGAAATACACAATAATTCTTCTTTTGAAACAATGTAACCTTAATTACTTTCCCAATACATTCCGTTCTTTGAAAGTGAACATTTCTACGATTTATGTTTAATTTTTAATTGTTAACAATAATTTAATTTTTATAGAAGATAAAAAAGTATTACGATTAAAGATGAAAAATTTCAAATGGATGTGCCAGTTACGAAACGATCACATATTGCGAATTCAACATTCTTTAGAACACAATTTCATGAACTGTATAGTTAAACTAGCGCGATCCACTTTGGCGTAGTTCGGTTTTCTCTCATTATCTCTTTTCTGTCATATCAAAGTACAATTGCATTTCTTTTTTAAATAAATTTAGCAGCTAGTTTTTACAGCCGCCTTTTGCATTGCTCAAAATAACGTAAAAATTGTGCGAAAAGCAAGAAAAATATTAAAATTGCAATGATATATTGCACTAATTGCACTAAACATTATAAACGACTGTTTATTCGAGGTTAGGTTGGGTTTGGCAGTACATATTTCTTCTCCATAGCTATACAGCTATAGGCCAACGAGCGCGAAAAAAAGATTGTGTGACAAAATTTAATAAGCGAACTTTAATTTTAGTATACTAAGTATATCCCGACTAACTATGACTCTAATGAATGAAACAGTTCCTTCCACTCACTTCACTTTAAAAGAGTTGCATTCGAAAATGGAGAATTATCACCTACCGGCGCGGCGAACACTCGCTAATGTCGGATGAGCGGGACAAAGATAATTTGGTTGACGAACCCATAATACGTAACGTCAGCCTCGCGTGAACATAGTATACCATTTATGTTTGCCGCGACCACGCTGTTCGTTAACGGTTAGCCGATTTACCATCCCTTTTACATTTCTATACTAGAATTAGTCTATCTATCTACCTTATGAATTAGTAATAGGAAAGATTTGATGGATTGATTGTTCGTTTGCATTGAATATGCTCCAAAACGACTACTAAACCGATTTGAAAAATTCTTCCACTTTTAGGAAGTTACACTATCCCCGGGTGAGTTAATATTTACTAATATATAATGTATGTTATCTTAATTCCACAAGTACGAAGTTGTATAAAACTGCTTTACATTAAAGAAATTGAGCACAATATAAAAGATACATAATGATACCACAACAAAATATGGCTTGTGACATACACACATCAAATAAGTCCAAGGAAAGTGCTGTGAAAAATATGTCTCAAATTTGTATTTAGTACTCTTTTGGAAATCAATTTAAACAATTCAAAAACAGAAGGTTTATCAGATAGGCGTTAAAATAAGTGTCACACACAGGTAATGAAATCTATTGTAATTTGTTTTAATTTAGCAACTTCAAATGCTAACTTCACCTTGTAATATAAGTGAACACTTCTTATTTGTTGTTTTTCACAATTTAAACCATTTGTAAATTGTGATTAGATTATGTTTTCAAGACGACAAAGATTACATGTGCAAAACATGTTTTTTTTTATATACATATCAAAAGGTGGCAAACGAGCGAGCAGCCACCTGAAATCGCTGTTATAGCGAAGTGACTGCTGCCCATAGACATACGCAATTGCATATGCGCTGCCTACCTTTAATCGACGGAGGAGAGGATGCACAGAAAGAAAATATCTTCCCTTTCCATGCATCCTCTCATCCGTAAAGTCCACTTCCACTTCCCATCCTTTCCTTATAAAGAAAAGGATGGGAAGGGAAAGAGGACTAAATTAGGCCTCCGGGACGCACACTCATCAGACTGCACGCGGAATTGCTTCCTCTTGACGCCTGTCTTCTGTGTGGTCGTGGTATTTCACCGGGCGAGCCGGGCCGATTCGTGCGAAGATGTTAAAGCGGGCTCTACCACTGTTAAAATGTTGATGATATAACGCTGATTGATAAAAAAAATTACACAACTTTTATGGATATTTTCATATAATAAAAAGCATTCTTAAGACTTTTTTGTTGTGTGTTTTGTATTATTTGCTAATGAATCAAAATCAAGTTAATGTTGCAAGAGCTGGTGCACGTCGACTCACCTGCACGCTATAGAAGGGTCCTACAATGTGCACGGTGGTCTCGTGGTCGGGCTGGGCGCCTGTCGGTGGCGGCTGCTCGGGCAACTTGATGAGGGAGCCGGTGACGCGCTGGAGCTCCCGCACGTTCTGCCCGCCCTTGCCGATGATGCGCCCCACTTGCGACGATGCTACTACAATCTCGATCGTCAGCCGCACGTCATCAGAGCCAGACATGAAGCCCTCCTCGCGCATCTTCTCGAAGATCAGGTATTGCGCCTGTAACGTGCAACGTTATTTCTACATTCGCTTGTTTGCGATGATATATACATCCCACCACATTACCGCTAGCTAGTGATCCCATACAACGCACCTTCCACTGGGCCTCGGGGCTGCCGACGATGGTCACCTTGCGCTCCTGTTGCGCGCCGCCGGCCGCCTCTCCCTGCTTGTCCTGTTCCAGTGGCGCAATCTTGACGGACGCGTTACTGAAGCGGATGATGTTACGAATATGCGATCCCTTTGTGCCAATGATGGCGCCCACCGCGTTATTCGGGATATACAGATACGTGGTCTCCTGCGAACCGACACCCGTTTCAGTCTAAAACGCACAAAATTAATTTGTCAAAATATGCATAAACGACCACTACACAAAAAAAAACAATAAAAGCATCAAAAAATAAAATTCGAAGTATGGCAAAAAATAGTATACAAGTAGAGTTTTACATATATTTTGGTTTGTCCATGGCCGGTGCTGCGGCATGGCGGTGAGGAGGGCGCAGTCAATGAGATAGTTACCTGCGAGTCGCCTGCGCCCTGCTGCGCGCCACCGCGGCCCGGCATCGGGGCGTAAATCGGCGGCGGGTAGGGCGGCGGCGCGCTGCAGAATCCGCGACCCGTCGACATCATCGCCATCGGATGTAATCCCGGGAACATTATGCTCTGCGGCGCCAGCACCTGACACACAACTATTTCGTCATCTTGCTCTATAAACTAGAAACTCAATGTGGTACTACCACGACGAAGGATTAGGCGTTTTTGGCCGCCCAAGTAAATGCCACTTGCCATTAGCAACAAACGTCACTCCATTCATCATTACCTGCCCTTATCCCTACAGAGGGTCGGCAGAGTATGTACTGCTCCTCCTTACATCTCTGTCAGCCGTCATATCTCAATTCACTACCTTCTTATGCATATCCTTTTTCACACAATCCATCCATACTTTCTTTGCTCTTCCTCTACCATTGTAGACTTATGGCTGCAATGGTAAAAGGAAGAGCAGGTATTATAACATGTCCATACCACGCTAGTCTTCTGCTCTTCAATTTCTCGATCATTGGCACTACTTTCAAACTTCCTTTAATATACACGGTCTCAACTTGATCATCATGATTTATATTTTCTTAAAAATTTATAAGAGTCATAAAAAATTAACTGACTGGGCGTTTACATGCTCAATGGATGAAATAAACAATTATCTGTGTTATTTTACAGATGTTTATGTTTTCTAAAGGGCTTTTATCTTAGAAAACAAATAAACGATAAAATATTATTTAAATATAGGCTTGATGTCAAAATCTTTCAATAATAATGTATATTAAATAACATGCAAATGATAAAATGTTGCACCTGTAAATCATTCTCATAGCTCTGGCGCAGCTTAGCTGATATTTGAGACTCCGCTTTGGCCATGTTTTCAATAGTTCCCTTCACGGTGATGATGCGTTCCAGATTGAAGCTGTTAATGTCATTGATCGATGACACCGTGATCTTTGTATCAGTCTCTTGCATTATTCTCTTTATAGTGTTTCCCCCTTTTCCTATTATGCGCCCAATTAAATTATTATGCGCCAAAATTTTTAGACAGATTTCCCTGAAATTAAAAATTTTACAAAAAAAATTAAAACAAAGCCTTTAGATAAATCTGTGGATTGTCACACAAAATTGTATCAGAGATTTGTTGCATGAATTTCACAGCTTCTTTATCAATTGATTACAATTATACAACAGCAGTTGCATACATACCCCTTATTAGTATTGTTAGCCTCCTGCTGCATGACCTCGAGTATGCGCTTGCATGCGTTGGTGCAGTTCTCAGGATTGCCATAGATGGTGATGGCCTTCTCTAGCGAACCGACGTTATCCTTGCGGTGCACGTCGACGCGTGCGCGCGACTGCTGCGTGATAAGGCGGATGGTGCTGCCCTGGCGGCCGATGATGGCGCCCACCATATCGCTCTGAACCAGCAGCCTCAGCGGAAAGTCAGTGGGGCGCGCGCCGCCCGCAGCTCCGCGCCCGCCGCCCGGTCGGCCGCGCCGCCCGCCGCGCGCGCTCGCCTCTGTCGCCTCTACCTTAATACGGCTGCCCTCCAGCTCGTACCCGTTTAGACCGTTAATGGCCCTGCAACGTCGTGCGAACTCTTAATATACTTATTTAAAACTACATACTTATGCAGTACAACGTCAGTCGATTACCATTAACTGATTGAGTGATTTATATATTATATTATATCATATAATATTATCATCATCATCAACCTGCCCTTATCCCTATCGAGGGTCGGCACAGCATGTACTACTCCTCCATACATCTCTATCAGCCGTCATATCCGAGTCTACCCCCTTCTTACGCATATCCTCTTTCACACAGTCATTCCATACTTTTTTTGGTCTTCCTCTACCCTTGTAGCCATCCACATTCAATCTCATTACTTTTTTGCTTATATCATCATCATCCCTCCTCATAACATGTCCAAACCACGCTAATCTTTTACTCCTCAATTTCTCGATCACTGGCGCTACTTTCAAACTTCCTCTAATATACACATTTTTAACTTTATCCTTCCTTGTCACACCACACATCCATCTTAGCATACGCATTTCAGCTACATGCAATCTTCTTTCATCCGAAACCTTGGTGGCCCAACATTCAGATCCGTACAATACGACAGGTCTTACGATGGACTTGTAGATCTGTCCCTTAAGTTTCATTGGCATTCTTGGATCACAAGTTACACCGGTGACCTGTCGCCATTTCATCCAACCTGCATTTATTCGGCTTTTCACATCCCGGTCAACACAATATAATATATATTATATATTATATTATATTATATTATATTATATTATATTATATTATATTATATTATATTATATTATATATTATATTATATATTATATTATATTATATTATATTATATTATATTATATTACATTATATTATATATTTACCATGACGGGCGAACTATGCAATATTTAGCAATGTTTGACAATCAATAACATAGTACATAAACGAGTAACGGCCGCGAACTAGCTGAGCTACTACGGCACGGCCTGAGAGAAGATTGTCCCGGCAGCAAGGATTTGCAGACTAACTACAGACTAAGCTCTCAAAGTATGTCATTCGGTCTTTTCCATTGGTTTTTACTTTAAAGTTGCAGCTTTTATTTATTTTAGACAAGCGGTCTCAAGCGACTTCTTCAGCGAAAAGTTAAAAAAAGTAAAAGTAAGCTACAATTTCCTGCATGCATTAGCTATCTTCCAGTGAACGGCCGTCGTAAGTAGTTTCCAATATTACCCGGAACCAACGCGGCTTGCGGAAAGACAAAATTTTAAATATTGGATTTTCCTTACCAGCTAAGACAATAAATCCTATGTACGAAATATGATGATTTTTTTTTATTTTACATACAGTGTTATTTACAAAGGTCTACAGTTAAGTATAGAATAATATTTATGTAAATAAACAAAATATGTAGCCCTTAGTTTTTTATGTTCGTAATGAACATATCATCATAGGTCATTAAGAAGATCGTATACACAAAGTTTAGGATTTATTTATGGACAGAATAATAGAAATAGTGCATATCTTATAATTGTTACGAAGCTACAAAGAAAAGAGGTCGCTTCGCCAGCGATGTAAGTAAATATACCTTGTCAGCATATTGCATACCATTACACTATTGTAAGCGTTACTAAGCATTGTATACAGCGTGTCCCAAAATTCAATGGTAAGCCTGTACTGGTGTAGCCAGATCGAAAATCACACAGGGAAAATACTTAAAAAAATCCAACTCCTTTTGTTTACATTAACATTACAAAATCGCTGGCCAAATTAAAATTTCACCACAAAACAAAAATCATGTAAATTAAATTATGAATCTAACAAAAATCTTCAGCGATTGTACAGGCGGTCGCAAAAATGTGCTTTATTTTTGTTTCTATATCCGTGTTTGTGAGCCTCCTGTAGATTTTTTGACAAAAGTTTGTTTTACAAAAATGTGTAGTTTATGCAACGAAAACAGTGTTTTTATATGAATAAAATCTGTAATACTTTTGAGATATTTGAATGTTAATGAAAATGTTAAATAATTCGCAAAGTTGGGTTTAATCGTCATATTTCGCACCAAGGAATCTGTGGTACTCAGTTTGTTTTTTTTTTCTTAAACAATATTAAAAAATATACCCGATATAGTTTTTTTTTCAGTCTACAAATATGAAAATTAGGAAAATAGAATTGGAATAGTACTTGTCGATTTCATTGGCTGAAATTATAGCCGAATAATTTAGAATTTAATAAATCCAGTTTAAAAAATGCGATGCTCCTCCAAATTGAGGAAAATTATGATATATGTGTAATAAGAAAAAAACATGATTGTAGTGCAATTCAGTATTTCAGTAATGTAATGGTGGTATTTCAAATCACATATCGGACTTATCTTGAAAATTATAAGATATTTTAGATAGATTTTGATTCTAATTTACATACATTTTATTTTTTAAATATGATCCGTACTTCCAACTGTTAACGCTATATTTTTCTGGTAATTACAAAGAAACCGTTATCTTATAGTCAGTTATATATTTACATTTTATTATTATACGCAAACACATACAACGTGCGCCTAAATTATTTTAAGTAAACAACCCAAACCAATAATCACCATATCGCAATGTGTAGTACAAAATACCATTAAAAATACGGAATAGCACAAACACAAGACATAAGGAGGACAACGGATTCTATTCAAGACAACGCCTAATTTAAAGTATTTATATACATTTTACCCTAATAATGTACAATACAATATATATTAAAGAGCAAAAGTTGCAAACAGTGTATGCATTTCTTTGATTTGAGTTTCTTAGGCTATCGAGGAATATAATGAAGCGCCATCTTTCACCATCTATGAAATAATTCGGGAATTGCAGTCAGAGAGGTGAAAGACGCGATAATGTAAAAAGTGGAAGCACCAAATGTTAACAGTCAGCCATCAAAGTTATTTTGTGCGATACATAGTGACGGCGTATGGTCGTAACAAAACAGTTAAACCTTTAAATGTTGTTTTACGGTAATTTTCAGTGCCATCACGCCACGACATATTTTCTACAATTTAACAAGGTAATTGTGACATTCACACCATGCAATTAGTTACAACATAATTTACAAAAAGCAGCCATTGGTGCAGCACAAGCAAAAGAAGAATAAAGAAAAATCTCTATAGCTTTGTCCAAGCAGCCGGAGATAAGCAAAGAAAATAAGAAGAATAAAAGGCTGGCTGGCTGGATGTGGGTGGTATAGTTTAGGGCGACTGATTCTGTTCTTCGTTCAATACTCACTGCTGCGCCTGCTCCGGTGTCTCGAACGTGATGTACACCGCTTGGGTGTTGGCGTCCCGCGCGTGCGCAGTGTCGCAGTGCTGCACGTTGCCATACTGCGCGAGCAGCGGCTCGATATTGTCGAACCGGGCATGCAGCGGCAGCCCACTGATCAGCACCTTTGACGACCGGCTGCGGCAAGCGACAAACCACTTGTACATCACCTCAAAATACAACTACACTCGAGACATAATGACGCAACAAATACAGTCGCACCACACACCAAAGCCTCGTTATACAAATGTAACTATGTACGTATGTATGTGTATGTAACTATTGTCCATAGGCTTCGTGGACGCATCTTTAAACATTTATTTATTTATTTTATGTAACATTAGATACGTACACATGGAAAATATTACATTAGTTTTTTTTTATAATTTCATTATACACACGTCTATCGAACACCATGGTTTAAATATGAATAAAAAACTTCAAAGACTTCGAGATATTTAAATAAACGTAAGATAATTTGTACGAACGAACAAAACTATTTTGGATAAAGGTAATTTTGGTTAATTCGCAATATTTTCAGTCAAGGAATCTGTGTTACTCAGTTTTACACGTCTTTCCCAGACACCATGTATAGTTTACTGACCAATTTACTAACTGAATCGGCATATGCTGAAATGCTAAAGTGAAATTAATGACAAGGCTCAAAATCAAGATGATAATCTGACTTATATGTGCTAGAAATGAGATTATTTGAATAGATGGATGTTTGTTCGTTAGAGAGTATCTCCACAAAGATGCGATGGACCTTGCTGAACTTTGGCACAGATTTAGAGCTTAGTCTAAAAGAACACAGGCTACTATTTTTTATTAATTTTGAATAGACGGAGTCGCGGACAACAGGTAATAAAGAGATAATTTCACAGAGCAATTTTCCCCGCCATCCCCGGAATATACTTGCAATAGTTTCATCTACATCTATTTAATGGCCTAGGCCCCCCGTGTTGGGACAAACTTACAAAAATTTAGTTGTATTATGTGTCTCGCTATATAAATGACACTATATAATTTAAAACATCAAAGTGCACGAAAGTGAGACGCGCGAGGTGCATGTGCGGCGCGAGATAGGAACGCACGCACGCTCACGCACGCCCTCCGCGCCGTGCCGCGCGCTTTATAAAATGGCGTTTGTTCTCTGGAGGTGACATCATCGCACTCACGCTGCCCTTCCCCCCGCCCGCCGAGCCATTCACTACTCGGGCCTACAGTTACGTTGCACCGGCTATAACCCACCCGCGTCTCCTCTGCCCCCCTATACCGCGCTCTGACCCTTTGCTTGCATTTACCTACTTTGAAATTACTATCCACCGCGATGCGGATCATACGGATATGATATGCATATAAATATTATTGTGTACATAACATTTGTAGTAAAGATATTATTTTGCTTGAATGTGCTTTGTATGACTGAACATACATGTTCGTTTCGTTTCATTTACTAAAAATATCGATGCTTACGGCGCTGTTAGTGATATATTTGTGATAATTTGTATGGACACGCGAAATTAAAATTGATATCCCCTTATTTACTCATAGATTTCTACGATGTATTTGGGATTTTTTGGCATACTGGAGATCACGGCCACTAGTGCGATTAAGTCACTTAA